AAAGAGTGTATCTATCTTTCTATGCAATGAAAGATTAAAACTCACAAGTAGTTGGCACTGTATCTTCTCTTTAGACGATAATTTCTTTTTCAAAAGGCTTAAAATCTTTAACTTGATCATTACTTAACATGAACTACAATGTGGTTTTTTGCAGGTGGGAACGGTTCCCTTCTCGAGCGATGAATGACAAAGCCAATGCTTGCAAAGTGTTGGGAACATAGTAAATGGGGTCATGGCTCTTTGCCGGAGGATAATGACTGATCCTTTGTGTTTTCACGTGATACTGTCCACGGAAATGTTGCCGTTGATGCCTCTCTCTCTCTCTCTCTCTCTCTCTCTCTCTCTCCTTCTCTCTGACCAAAGACATGGAGAGTTACGTGACTTTGTGTGTAACTGGCAATGAGTTCTGATGGAATGTCAAATTGTGTAAAATCATGCGACTATACCCAGCCGTTTCATGATGCAAACCAACTAAACACGAAAAAGAATCTGGCATTATTTATGTACTTGTTGTCACAGGATGTCAAAATGAGCTGGCTCGTGACCAAGTTCATGAGCCTGCCTATATTTTTCAATTTTGAGTCCGAAGTCTATATTTTCTAGCTTGCGAATCAGAAAAAAAAAATTATTTTTATTTTTTATTATTTTAAAATATATTAATTATTATTTTTATAACATTTGTTATTATATTTTTTTATTTTTTGTTTGGCTAGCGCCGGATCGCGAACGTATGAGTTTTGAATTTTTTTCGATCCGAATAAAAACGGACTTAATGAATTGAATTGAAAATAAACTGGTTTGGAACAATTGAACCGGTCTGGTCCGAACTAGGTCGTTTGACATCCTTAACTTTGTTATATATATATATATACACACACGTATATACGTAATAGATTAAGTGTTGAGATGAAATCTGACAAGAGGGCAGAGACAAAAGCAGCTTTATTTGACCATTCACGCAAACCCTTTTGGTCAAGTGCTCGCTTCCCGTGACGTGGAAAATTATTCCCCCAATGGGAACACCATCATTTCATTTCCCCCCTATTTATTTAAATAATTGGCCCCAATATCCATTTGTTGGTAATGGTTTATGTCCCTGTGCTATGAGACGGTCCACAAAAGATCGCTATAATCTTTAATTTATAGATTTCAGGGTTTAGTGAAAACTCATCCGAATCTCAAGTTGAAGGCGGAAAGGACCAACCACCTTATTAACCGCTCAATCCAATCATTTGAATATACAATAAGATCCTCTTAACTATCAAAAATAAATTTAAATTGCAATGTTTATATACGCGCCATCCGTTATTCTTTTAACTGTTTATAGGTATCATATTTTTTTTATCAATGAATTACGATTAACTTCGATATTCAAAAAAATTAACGGATATAATCTCGATTATATCAGCACGAAAGGTATAGTTAATTGAGAACCCCATCATCACCCCAGATTTTCGAGTCAGCCGCTGCACATTTGTTTGTATATTCTAATACGTTAGCAGCCCATTTCTTTCCAGAATTTCTATGCATATTTCGTGCTACTTTAAATACCTTTTTAGTTTTCCCCCCAAGATAAAGTAATAAAATAATAATCGAAATAAATACTTTACGTGCCGAAATAAATAACCGAACTATACATATATATATATATATATATAACTAGCCATTTTTTCTAATATTTTCATTGGAATTAGTGCAAATTTTAAATAAATATTTATTCACGAAAATAATGAAAAACACAATCTATAAGATAAAATCATAACAAAATAAATAAAAATATTATATATAGAAATATTGCTCGCCCACACATAATTGGTAGAAAAAAGTAGGAAAATAATGATACACTTGACATCATAATACCGAACAAAGTAGGAAATACAAACATAAACACCTAAATAATGCGACTGTCCACTTAGGACCAAATAACATTCGCTTCAACTGTTGCGCCATTGTTGTTGTAATGGTTTAGAGCTGTCCGAAGGAGTGGGCGAAATAAGAGAGGGCACCGACGAGAGGGGCGTTGATGTACGTGGCTGGCTCCGACTGCTCGTAGTCGGCTCGGTCGTCCGGGAACCGGTCGTGGAGGTCTGGACCTCCGATGACGGCGCCGACCAGGACGTTGAAGTTGGGAGACTGCGAGTTCATGAAGGCGAAGCCTTCGTGGCATTGGATCTTCCCCGGGTGGGTCGCCACCGACGGCAGGGGGCCGCCCCCGCCGGCAGTGACGAGCCACGGTGGTGGATCCTCCTTGGGTATTTCGGACCGTACCCCACCATGTACGACATCCTCAATGGATTTTCCCCCAATAGATAATCCACCTGCCGATATACATGCATTCTTTCTTTCTTTAATATTTGTCCGGAATGCCCTTGAATTATATACATATATATATATATATATAATCATAATCACCTGCTTCTTGGCGATGGAGCGGAGATGGCCGGCGGTGATGACGGAGCCGCCGCAATTGACGACGGTGCGAGCGGAGGTCAAATACTTGGCATAGGTCAACAGCAAGAACGACGTCGACGTTACATACTGCATGTTGCTATCCCCCATCTTGAATAAGAGCCCACCTGTTTTTTTTTTTTATCTTCATTATTCCCCAACACGAATATATGTATCCAAGAAAGAAACCTTTTTTTTTTTTTCAAAATTAGTCATTACTACCCCACTTCAAGAACAATAATTCCAAACACACTGACACTATCCGTTATCCCTGAGTTATTGGTTTCCTTGCTGCCAAAACTAAAAATTCAAACTTTCGTGAAAATCGCGAAGAAAGATCCGAACTTGGGTCGAGCATAAATTATCCTGACTTGCTGGAATACACTAAAAAATTTCACCCAAAGGTTTTGATTTGATCATTTTTTAATCATTTTCCAATCGCGTAAACATGGGTCTCGGACAAAACCTCGAAAGCAAATAATGTTGGGGTAGAAATGAAAGAATGGGGAAGATGAGGGGCAAACCTGGGGTGAACTGGGAAGAAGAGAAAGGAGCGCCAGGGATGACAGAGCAAATGAAATTATCAGCATGCCCTTTGTACTCATGCAGTGATTTGACCTTCTGAACCAGGAACGCCTTCAAAGACCAACATTATTCTCATGGGTTTTGTTCTTTTGTGGGGAATAATCGAATTTTGATTTATGAACTTCCTGGGTTTTTTAGGGTTTTGAAGATCTAGCACCTTGGAGAGAAGAATCCTGGCTCCGACATGCTTGTTATCCCAACCAAAGGTGTTGTCGAACTGAGCAGCTCCAAGGATCTGTCCGTTAACTTGGATGTAGTTCAGATATGTCGGCTTCTTTGTCGCCTTGTGCAACCAAGCAGCTCCCCACAACAATTCATCCTGAAAATCCATTATCATAATACATTTCCCATTATTATCCAGATTCTTTTACGGGTCTTGCGATCATTATCAGTGAAAATCGTTTTACCTGATACCCAGAGTAAGAACAGTAGAATGGGCAAACGGCCATTTTCAAACCGCCGCTGTACGGGCCTCTGTACTTGTCGGCGAAGGCGAAAACCTTAAAATCCCCGAACAAAAATCCAAACTTTGAGAGTTCAAGAGGAAACCCAGTTGAGTGAGAATTACAGATTAATCGTTTCTAGTTTCATTACCCTAATGGCTCGCCGGAGGAGGGTCTTGGAGTAAGAAGGGTCGCATTTCCTGAAAACGATGGACGCGGCGGCGAGAGCGGCGGCTGTTTCGCCGGCGACGTCAGAGCCAGGAGTGTTCTTGTCCACTTTGAACACACTTCTCGGCGTGTCCATGTCTTCTGGTCTCTCCCAACAGGCATGGTCCTTGTTCGCATCACCAACCTAAACCCCAAAAAACAAGAACAGTGGGTCGCGGAGAAAGAAGAGAAAATGGTTATGGAATTTCTCCAAACTCTAAGAGAGATTGAATGGAGAGAAACCTGAACATAAATGGTGTCAGGGTGGGAAGTGGCTTTGAGGAGATAATCAGTGGCCCAACGGATAGCTTCTTTGGCGTTTTGCAACTCAGATTTCATGAGGCCACCGAACTCAATCACACTCCATGATAGCATTGTGGTCGTGAATGCCATTGGGAACCCAAACTTCACATTGTCCCCTGCATCATAGTATCCTCCCACCAAGTCCACCTGCACAACGAAGAAAACATGGGTACAAATCAAGGAAAATGAAGGGAAAAAGGGGGGAAATTCAAGGCTTTTTTTACTGTGTATAAACAGACCGAACCCAGAAAGATTGGATTTTTCGACTATAAATATACGGAATGCAACCCACATTGTGGAAATCCGTGGCTACTCGAGCAAAAACTGAACTTTTCACTTGTGTTTGTCGCATAAAGATGTGAAATTGTAACCATTTTTTCATCAGAGCAAGAACAGTCCCACTACCCATTTGGCATCGGAGCAGCCAAAAGGAAAGAAAGAGGAGGGGGAAATACGTGAAGGGCAGAGCCGTCAGAGAGACCAGAGTCTCTCCTCCAAGTCATCCTCTGGTGGGAGGGGAGCTTGCCGGACCTCTGGCCTTCGAAGAAGAGGATGGACTTGGTGAGAGCGTCTCTGTAGTTGTGGTTGGCAATACGGTGCCGATGGCTGTGAGGAGCGTAGGGGAAGGCATTGCAGAGAAGAGAGAGGAAAACGATGACACGAAGACCAACAGAAGAAGGAGAGAGAGCCATTTCTCTTCTCAGAGAGAGAGAGAGAGAGAGAGAGGGAGAGGGATATCTGATTAACCAACCAACGGCCAGGCTGCAGCTGCGAGGGGAACAGAGGAAATAGCCCTGCTCTTTATAGAGGGAAAAAGGGCTGCTTTTTCACCTCTCTCTTTCTTTCTAGACGTTTGGTTAATTGAGATATAGAATAAGAGTATGCCCATCTAAAGATTTTGGTTAGATTTAATCAACGCTTTAATTACTTACAAATCTTTTTAGATATTTACATGTTTACCCATTTCTTTTTTTTTTAATAACAAGGTGGGTTTTTTTGGAGACCTCAACCATCACAGTGAAGGGATATTAACTACACAAAGCTATATAGAGCCCACCTGT